ATATATTTTAGACACAATGCTATTGCACACTTAATAGACTACAGTATAGTGTAAACATAATTTTTATATGCACCAAGGAACCACTTTATTGCAATATTTGCTTTACTGCTGTGGTCTGGAACCAAATCCACAATATATCTGAGGTATACCTATATTATTTTATTGATAATAAACTTTATTTTTTAGAATTGTTTTAGACTTACAGAAAAATTACAAAGACAGTGTGGAGGCTTCCCAGATACCACACACCCTGTTTCTCCTATTATTAACGTAACGATAGTAGGTTCAGTAGTGGCCCCAAAAGTCCTGATAACTCACAGTACCTGTGCATGTGACTTTATTTGGAAACATGGTCTTTGCAGATGGAATTAAGAATCTTGAGATGAGATCATCCTGGATTTAGGGTGGGTCCTAAATCCAATAGGACTGATATCATTAAAAGAGGAGAACACCGTGTGAATATATAGGCGTGTGGGGAAGAAGGCCATGTGATAGAGACAGAGATTGGAATGACGCAGCTGCAAGCCAAGGGACACTGAGGATTGCTGGCAACCACTAGAAGCTAAAAGGAGGCAAAGAAGGATTCTTCGCTAGAGTGTCTGAGGGAGCATAGACTGCCCCTACCCTGCCCCCTACCACATCTGGTTTTGGACTTCTAGTCTCCAGAAGAGTAAGAGAATACATTTCTATTGTTTTGAGCCACCCTGTAGTAATTTGTTATGGCAGCCCTTGGAAACTGACACATTACAGTAGTATAGTACATTTGTTAAAATCAATGAAACGATGTTTATACATTACTATTAACTAAGATCTATGCCTCATTCAGATTTCCTTAGCTTTTATATAATGTCCATTTTCCGTCCCAGGATCCCATCCAAGATAACAGTGACGTTCAGTTGTCATATCTCCTTAGGCTTTTCCCGGCTGTGACAGTTTCTGAGACTTTCTTGTTATTAAAGACCTTGACAAGTTTTGGGGAGTACAGTTCAGATATTTCATAGAATGTCCCCCAATTTAGATTTGCCTCATGATTTTAGGAGGAAGACCCACTGAGGTAAAGTGCCATTTTCATCACATCATAACAAGGGTACATATTATTAACATGAATTACCATGGTTGATGTTAACTTTGATCGCCTGTCTAAGGCAGCATTTACCAGGTTTCTTTGTGAAGTTCCTCTTTTTCCTCCTTTTCCATAAGGTACTCTTTGGAAGGAAGTCATTATGTGCAGCTCACACTTAAGGAATGTGGAGTTATGCTCTGCCTCCTTAAGGGTAGAGTATGTACAAAAATTATTTTAAATTCATCTAGGAAGATTTGCCTATTCTTTCCATTTATTTATTTATTCAATTATTTATATCAATATGACTTAGAGATATTTATGATATACCTTGAGTTACAATCCAACAGTGCCAAATTTGGCTCCTACCATCCTCTATTTACTTAATTGTTCAATTCCAGTATAGAAGTACACATGCATAGGAGTATCAGAATTATTAATCCATGTTCCTATGGGATACAACTTTATCAACTAAAGTACAGTGCTATGCACAGTTTCTTTTGCTTTTAGTTTTGTATACCCCACTCGTTTCCGTTACTAAAGTCAGCAACTTTTTCCCCATCCCCTTCAGTGAAGTAGTTTCATACATTTGTAATATAGTTAGATTGTTTTGTTACATTCTGCAACCCATCCTGGGATTCCTCTTAATCTCCTAAATGATTTTTTAAAATTAGCATATGTTAAGGTTTACTCATTGTTCTGTAAAATTCAATAGATTTTGACAAATGCATAATGTCATGTAGCCACAATTCCAGCATCGTACAGAATAGTTTCACCTCCCTAAAAATTCTCCTATGCCTGATTAGTTTTTATTTGGAAAACGTTTTAAAAAACAAACAAATAAGCACAGAAATCAAAGTAACACACACTTGGGGGTATGCTGTCAGGAATTTATAAGTGTTAATATTTTGTTTTACTTGTTTCAGATTTTTAAAAGTAAAATAAAATGTTAAAATAATTTAAGTTCTCTTGTATTTCTTCCTAATTCCATTTCTTTTTTTCCTTACTCAAGGGCAATTACTGTTATAATTGTGGTCTTTCTAAAACATGTTATACTTTACTGGATGTATTTGTGACTCTAAGCAATAAATACTGTAATTCTGTGTGTTCTCTATATATTTATATAAAAGCACTATTTTATATGTATTTTTCTAAAACTTGCTTATTTTACTGTCAATATTATGCTTCTAAGATCCACTTATGGTTTATAATTTTTGTGCTCGAATGATTTTATTAGTGTTTAGTTATATGAATATACCACATTTTGTTTATGTTTATCTATCAATGGACATTGTGATTGGGCTTTGAGTTTTGCTATTTCATATACAGTATGAACATCCTTGTACATATCTCTTTATGCACACGTGTAAGAATTTCCGTACTGTACAGCTAGAACTAAATTGCTGGATCATGTGGCATGCACATTTTCTATTTTACTAGAAATGGCCAATTTGTCTCCACTGTGGTTCTATTAATTTCCTTACATCCTTGATATCACTTGGAATTGCTGACTTTATGTATTTGCTAATCTGATGGGTATGAAAAGTTTTCCCCAGACTTTCAGAGGCTGTGGAATATATCACTTCACTTCCTAGGCAACTAGATAAAATTTTGACAGGAGTTTGGGTTTTTACCATAGGGATCATTTGTTAGTTTCTAATGGCTTTTTGTTATTTTCAAAGGTGCCTGCTTATCCAGGATTTACAAAGTTATTTTGGAACCTAACTTCACCCAAATTCTCTGTTCCTGTATCTGTCATGAAGGAAACCCTATATCCAAAATATGAGGTGACATACTGAATGACTTTATTGTTGTCGTTTAATAATTAAATTGTATAATTGATTACATTAACATTTACTGGACCATGGTTATGTAAATTGTCAGACAACTATTGCCATGATTAAGAATAATTGGATGGCACTATAAGAATTATATATATAGTAAGTAATTTTCTATGTATATATTTATGTATATACATATACTTATAAGCCTATAACTATGTGTATATTTACATACATATACTTATGTATTATACATATATTTCTAAAAAATATTGTACTTATCCATGTTACGTTAGCCAGTCAAGTTTTCTTTTTTTAAAAAATTTTTTAAATTAATTAATTAATTATTTTATGATGACATTGGTTAATGAAATCCAATGTTTCAGCTGTACACTTTAACAGTAAGGCATATATCCCATAGTTATATTTCTTTCTGTTGCCACATATTTGACCCCTTTTACCCCATCTATCTCCCCACTCAAGTTTTCTTCTCGAAAGGATATTTTTATTTGACTGAGGTTCCAAGATAGAAAACCACTTGGGTTGCATAAAAGATCTTCATAGTATTTTCATTTGCTTTTAAAAGCGCATTTTTAGTTAACTTAATGTTTAAAAAGTTTACCACTACCACATACAATTATTAATTTTTCTTCCTTTCAAGAGTGTTTGCTTGCTCTAGTTTCATATTATGCTTATTATTTTAAAAATGAAAAAATCAAGAGAAGGAACCCCAAATCATCTGTTATTCTTTCCCTCCAGACAACTACTGCCCACTTTTTGGTCTTTTTCTTTCATTCTTAAAAATTCTTCCTCTTCCTTCTCTTGTTCTTTACCCCTTTTTTCCTCTCCCTTCTCACTTTTTCCTCTTCAATTCAGCGATGAACGTCGTCATCGTGCATAAATTTTTAATAGTGTTTAGGATTATTTTGTTTGCTTAAAATTTTAGGCAGCTTACTAAAACACATATATCAGAAAAGGATAAAATGAAAAAGTTAAGGAAATCATGGGGAAAGCATACCAAGAGTAATATCATAATAAAGTCAGAGATAAGATTAAATCAAACGAAATTCTGTTGGTATATGCTGTTGCTTGAAATGGGATCATTCTTTTACCTCTTAGCTTCTCTGCAACCAAAGCTGGAATGGAATCACATTTCTGTTTGCCCTATTGTTACTACGTGTTTAGGATGTTAATATCGTTACATCTTTACATTTCTTGGATTACTTGATCATGGTGTATTATTCTTAAATAATATGTAGATCAGGTAGAGTCTGGCCTTCAATTTGTGTCACCCTTGCCCCAAGAAGTTGCATTTCTGCAGCTCGGATTTGCAACTGTTTTAGTAAATATCCTGAGAATAAAAGCATCTTTGAATACTGGACTTACCTTTCCAGATTCTTGCCTTTTTGTGGGTTTTGGCTCAGTATCTCTTCATCATCTTGTTAGCTCTTTGATGCTTTGAAGAGCATGTTTTCATATTACATGTAGCTTTCGTAGTTGTCTTCAGAAGAATAAACCTAGCCTGCCATAATTAGAAGCAGAAGTCATAATTGACTTCTAAGTTAGCAAACTTTTCATTTTCATCTGCATCCTAGCTTTTATTACATGCATACCAATTTCAGCAATATCCCAGGAGTGGAGAATTTTTACATCAGATATCATCTAAGCAATATTGTTATTGCCCTCTCAAGGCACGTTAGTTTGGGCAATGTCTTGGAAGGTTCCAACATATAAACTGCATTTTCTTTTTAAAAAGCAGCCATTGATTGTTAGTAAGTTCTGCTGTTTTCATATCTGTAAAATATGGTACAGTAAGACTTCACTTAACATTGTGGATAGTTTCTGTGGCTTTAAGCAGAATGACATATAACAAAACCAACTTTATCATAAACTAATTGACATTAAAATAGTTAAGTTCCTATGGCATCTCATCATTGTTATAAAATGTTACCTGCTGTACTAAGGTTTTTGTTATTGTTATTGTTAAAAGCATTCTTTTAAATATGTAATATCTGCTATTCCATCATATTTGAATATTTTGCGTAAGCGCATGACAAATTAGTTCCAAAATTTCTTGTGTAGTTTGTCTTTGAAGAATAATGATGAAAGTGACCAAGTCTCTTTTTGCTATATCTAGTAATTTTCTTACCTTATATTTGCTCTAGATACTTTCTGAAAATACAGCGGAGGGGGATGAACAAAAATTCAGTGCTGGTGATTTCTAAATTACCCATGGCCTTCTCCATATCTGTTCCAGTCTCAGTGATAATTACATGATGCTTTTAATAGCTGATTGCCTATTGAATAAATATTTTTTGTATTTGAAATTTTAGTTGAGACCTAGAAATTTTCAGCAAATTAAGCAGCAGAATGATTTAATTCATTATGAATCCACCAGGCTGTCAAACTTAGATCTTCTAGTTGTTTCTACATATTCAAATCACTGATTACAAGATAGAAAAGTAGCACATTTAATAATCATAATCATTGCAACAGTTTACCTTTATAACAGTAAACATACACATATAACTTGATTGATAGTTTATATTATAAAGCATTTAAAGATATTTTTATTTCAATTAACATTTAGAATGCTTTCTTGTATTTTACAGTGAATAGTCACATTGACAATCAATCCAAATGGTATATTTTATTCATAATCCTGATGTTGATATGCTGAATAGATTCAATGTTAACCTGTGAGGTCACAGGATCCTATGATTAGGGATGCTAGAAACAACAAAGAAGTATCCATTTGTCTAAAGACCAATGCTAAAGACAAATTGAGGGTTTTGGCCAAATACTAAGGCTGCAGCTAGACTTTGATGCATCTTTGGTAAACATTTTCTATAATTCTGTACTTTTCACGTGTTTCTCTTTTGGTAATAATGTTGTACTGGGAAGTAACAGTAATCATAGTTTTTTTTTTTTTTTAAAGTATTCTACTCTATAATTTAAAACTTATCTTTTTACCACAGAGTGTTCAAGCAAGCAGGATTTTAATTGAGAAATTTTCATCTGAAAGCAAGGAAAGCGTTATTACTTTAAATCAGCATAGCAGAAGAGGTCTTAGGGTATGTATACTTTTTATTCTGAATTTTGAATTGGTTGCTTTATCTGCCTGCAGCTCAGATATTATTTCTAGTAATCTCAGAAATTATTTCTTGGTGCTTCTTCAGTCCAGGAAATGCCTCAGAACATTTACTGCTGTCACTGCCACAGCCACTTTGGATTATAGTTATCTCTTTATGTCGATCTCTTTTCTGAGGACACATTTCCTCTTTTTTAAATATGTTGTTTTTATGACACTCAGATGTTACCTACTAACCAATAGCAGGATATCTGCTGTGAGTTTTCCTAAGATTTCTAAAATTTCTGGTTTTGTACTCATTTGTCACTTCTTGCCTGCCTAGATCTTCAGTGATCAAAAGAATATGTTTATAAATCTTTTGACCAAATGGAGGAATTGTCACGGCCATGAAACACAGTAAAAGTTAATTCTCTAAATGGTGATTAGACTCATGCTCGTGACTTTATTATCACTACAGTGAATCCAAGTAAGCTAATTAAATAATAAACACAATTGGAGAGAAAAGAGATAGTTATTGAGAGAAGAAAGGTATAAAATTTATATAATTGGTTTATTAATAAGTGTCCTAAATATTATGGGGACAAATAAGAAACAGTTTTATTTTTCTCTCATCAGTGCCTTCAACTCTTTACTTTCCTTGATATCTTGAGATGCCGAGTGCTACATAGTAGAGAGTCTTAGAGTCCTGGGATAAATCAAATTCCTATTCTAGTCAGTTAAATGGGTTAAAAATGTGTGTATGCCTCTTCCCATACAGTCAAGTAATATTTTTTTTTTTTTTAGGATATAATGTATCTATTTAATATAGATTAGTTTTTTTTGCTATTTTGCTCATAGCACTTATTAAATATTTGCCCTTTTGTATGTTTGGTCTTTGTATTCCTTACCAGCTTGGGGTCATATCATTATTATTCACTCTTTTATCTGTAACACCTATAGCAGTGACTATCAAATAAAAAATAATTGAACTAACTAATGACACTTTCTAGTTTGAAATGCCATTTGTACTTTCTAGACCAGTGTAGTAGCACTACTTACATCTACCTATCAGATAATTCCCATTTTAAGTAGCTGTTTCTTTCAATCCATCCTCCTTCCTGCCCTCCGGCTATATTCTTAAAACACAGGTATGATTATATCACTCATCTCTCAACAAACTGAGTAACTCCACCTACCAAATAAAACCAGAGGGCTTAACTAAGTCTTATAACTTGGCCTCACTATATTTTCTATCCTACCTTCCATTATATTTCTGTTTGTGTAACCTCCATGTACCCTGTACTCTGCCTGCACCAGAGCCCTTGGGGACCAAAATCCCAGCACTGTGACACTTCTCAGTTCTTGTTTAGGCTATTCTATTGGCCTGGTATGTTCTCAACCCCATCTCAGTCCATGGAAATATTGCCACCTTTCACAGGCAAACCCTGATGCTACCTCTTCAAGCTGGTCAACTCAGTTTCCTTTCCATTCAGAATTAACCTGTCCTTCTCTTCTATTCCTTTGCTCCTCATTCATGCCATCTCTACAATCATTGCCACAGCCACTTTGAATTATAATTATTTCTTTATATCTGTTTCCATCATTATACTGTTCGAGGATGTGGAACATGTCAGGTTTTTTTTGTACTTTCTACTCTAGTATAGTGATACTTCTCAACTCTTTAATATAATAGCTCTCATAATAAGTGATGATATTTTTGTGGTCTTATGGGTAAAAGGTTGAGGTTACTCATGATTAGAGGTGACTGTTAAGGGCAGTAGCTGCTCCAGGTCCCACTAGTGTAGCACTAGAGCTAAGAGGTTTAATGGCTTAGCATATCTATGGCATATTCACACACACCTGTGCCCCTTATACCAATTAGAAAGCTTTGCAGCATAACACCTTGCACATAGCAGATACTAGGTAAGTGTTTGCTATATCTAGTTGTATTGTAAAAAGCAGGATAGTTTCCATTATTATACCTTTTCAAAATTAATTGACAGATTTTAAGTTCTGCTTCTCTCTGTGAACTCAGTAAGAACCTGTGCTTTAACTAATATTGCTGCATTTTGTTAATTTACCTAAACAGTTACTGTTGGTCAACTGATATTTATTGGTCATATGATATTTTAGTTTACCACATAGTATCTAAAGTCAATGTATAATTATCATTTTATTATTTCAGCTTTTTAATCTAAAAAAATCTTCATCATTTGAAAATATCCAAAAAAGTTTCAGCACACAATCTCTGCAATTAAAGGTATGATAATTTTCACTTTTTATTATTCAAAGGAAATGTTTATTTTACAAGTAATTATCACCACCTATATATTTTTTTCTTTTGTTTGCTTTCCTGAAATAGTGTAGTCAGTTGATTCATCCAGAGTTGATTGAAAGTTTGGAGTTGAGTGTGTATTTGCTAGCCCATGTAAATTGTGCTTGGTGGTAGCATTGTAAGATTTCAACAACTCTTGGAAGTGTCTTATAGTCATTATTTGACTTTACCTGGTACATTATAAATCATTTATACTATTGACCTACACTTGAATCAGGCTCACAGTTTGAAAACATTTTCACGAACACTATTCCAGTTTGATCTTGAACTTCATAATAGCCTGATGAGAAGGAAGGTGAGACAGATACACGTTTTATACATGAAAAAGCAAAGGTTAGAAAGTGACAAATGGCAGAGCTAGTACTGAAACCCATACTTCTTACCAAATGAAATGTACTTTCCTCTTCACCAAGAATCCATAGGCATTTTTGAAAGACTGGTTCTTACCATCAGTGGCACTGACATCTAGCTCCCAGTTTTTTTTCTCCCCAAGATCTGACAGTAACTTCCTTGATTCTCTATGTTAATTGCTTCTAACTTGCTTTTTTAAAAATTAAATTTATTGGGGTAAGTGAAATTATATAGGTTTCAAGTGTACAGTTCAATACGTATTTGTCACATGTGTATTCCATTGTGTGTTCACTACCCAAATTTAAATTTCTTTCTGGCTAACTTGCTTTTAATTTGACTAACTTTAGCCTACTTCCTATTTCATTTCTAACGTTCTCCTTTTTTATTAACTCTTCGATTCCTCTGCTTTGTAAGCCTGTACACTGACACTATTCTTAAGATTTATTTTATTGACAAATAATTGACATATTACATTAGTTTTAGGGGTACAACGTAATGATTCAATTTGTATATATTTTGAAATAATCACTACAATAAGCCATCACCACACATAGTTACACACTTTTTCTTATGATGAGAACCTTTAAGATCTACTCTCTTAGCAACTTTCAAATATCCAAGACAGTATTTTAACTATAGTCACCATGCTGTACATTACATCCTCAGAAATTATTTATTTTATAACTGGACATTTATACCTTTTGGACAGCCATCACTCTTTTTGCCTACACTCAACTCTCCAGCTCTGCAGCCAACCAATCTGTTGTCTGTATCTATGAGTTTTTTATGTTTTTAAAAAAATATTTTTGTTTTTGTTTTTGTTTTCTGTTTTTAGATTTCACATATAGATGGGATCATATAGTATTTGCATTTCACTTAATGTCCTCGAGGTTCATCCATATTGTTGCAAATGGTGGGATATCCCTCTGTTTTATGGCTGAATAGTATTCTAATATATGCATTTTTATATCTTGGCTTGTGAATAATGCTACAAAAAACATGGGGGTGCAGATATCTCTTTGAGATCATGATTTCTTTCTTTTGTATATATACACAGAAGTGGAATTGCTGGATCACATGGTAATTCTATTCTTAATTTTTTGAGGAACATCCATACTTTTCTGTAATGGTTGTACCAGTTTACATTCTCATCAACAGTGCACAAGGGTTCCCTTTTCTTCACCACTTGATGTCGCTTGTCCTTTTGAGACTAGCCATTCTAACACATGTAAGGTGATATCTTATTGTGGTTTTGATTTGCATTTCCCTAATGTTTAGTGATGTTGATCATCTTTTCATGAACCTGTTGGCCATTTGTAAGTCTTTGTTGGAAAAAAATCTCTATTCGGTTCCTCTGCCCATTTTTTAATCAGATTGTTTGGGTGCTTTTTCCTACTGAGTTGTAAGAGTTCCTTATACATTTTAGATATTAACCCCTTAGCAGATTGATGGTTTGCAAATATTTTTCTCCATTCCAGATTGCCATTTCACTTTGCTGATCATTTATTTTGCAGTGGAGAAACTTTTCGTTTAATATATTCTTACTTGTTTATTTTTGCTTTTGTTGCTTGTGCTTTTAGTGTTATATCCAAAAACTCATCACCAAGGCCAACATCAAGGAAATTTTCCTATATTTTCTTCTAGTAGTTTTACAGTTTCAGGTCTAACTTGAGTCTTTAATTCATTTTGAGTTAATTTTTGTAAGTAGTGTAAGATAGAGGTCCAATTTCATTCATTTGCATGTGAATATCCACTTTTCCCAGCAAATTTCTTAAAGAGACTAGCCTTTTCACATTGAGTGTTCTTGGCTCTCTTGTATAATATTAGTTGATTATATGTATTATATATGTCTTGTTCCATTGGTCTATGTGCCTATTTTTATGACAATATCATGCTGTTTTTATTACTGTAGCTTTGTAATAAAGTTTGAAATAAAGAATTGTGATGTCTCCACTTTTGTTCTTATTTCTTAGGATTGCTTTGGCTATTTGGGGCCTTTTGTGGTTCCATACAAATTTTAGGGTTGTTTTTCTACTTCTGTGAAAAATGTCATTGGACTTTTCCTAGGGATTGTGTTGAATTAATAAATGGCTTTGGGTAGTACAGGCATTTAAAAATACTAATTTTTCTAATTCATGAACTTGAGATATCTTTCCATATATTTGTGTCTTCTTCAATTTCCTTCATCAAAGTATTGTAATTTTCAATGTATAAATCCTTCATCTTCTTGGTTAAATTTATTCCTAAATATTTTATTATTTTTGATGCTATTGTAAATGTGATTACTTTATTTTTCAGGTATGCAACTGATTTTTGTATGTTGATTTTGTAACTTGCAACTTTACTGATTTATTAATTAGTTCTAATAGTGTTTTGGTGGTCTTTACAGTTTTCTTATATAAGATTATATCTTCTTCACAAGCAGACAATTTGACTTCTTTTTTGATTTGGACGTCTTTTTTTTTTCACTTTTTCTTTTCTAATTGCTCTAGCCAGGACTTACAGTACTATGTTGAATGAAAGTGGCAAAACCGAGTACTTCTGTCTTATTCCTGATCTTAGTGTGAAATCTTTCAATCTTATACTGTTGAATATGATATTAGCTGTGAGTTTGTCATATGTGGCCTTTTTTATGTTGAGTTTTGTTCCTTCCATGCCAAATCTGTTGAGAGTTTTTATCATAAAAGAATGTTGAACTTTGTCAAATCCCTTTTCTGCATCAATTGAGATGATCATAGGATCTTTATCTTTTATTCTATAAATGTGATGTATCACATTTTTGATTTGTGTATGTTGAACCATTCTTGCATCTGAGGGATAAATATCACATGGTCATATTGTATGATCCTTTTAATGTGATGTTGAATTCAGTTTGCTAATATTTTCTTTTCTTGATATATATATATATGATATATATATATGATACATATATATATGATATATATATGATACATATATATATATGTCAATAATATCTCAGTAAAGCTGGAAACAAAAACTTAAACCCATTCTGGTAGCTCTGCTCTATAGTTATAGATTTTGTCAGTGATTTCTTACAGAGTGTTCTATGCAGCTGTATAAGGCTACTCTGTGTAATTTATATCTAGACAGCAAGTGGGAATATGAGCATCTTATATTCTACATCTTTTCAGATATATGTTTTCCTAATATATTCATATGTGTTTGTATTTCTTGATATTTACATATACATACATACATACATATATTCCATTGTTTATTTACTTCTCTATTTTCTATTCTAATTATGTATTGAGCTAACATATAGTTTCTTGAGATAAGGGAAGTATAGTAAGTCATGGAGGATAAATATTTCTAATGTATTTGGTACATCTTAAAGTATATAACTAGCTTGTATGAAGTAGTTATGTTTGGAATTTGAGCCTAAATTCACTATAATGAAAAACATCTCTAAAACAAATTATTATTTATTAGCAAAAAATTAAATGCAGTTAATTTATTGACAATAGTTCAATAGGCTGGAAATGCTATAACAAAGGATTGGAATTAATCTCTTTTACTAGTAATGGGTGCTGTTAGAGTTTCAAGTACTAATGCATAATGACTGCAAATTATTAATAATGATTAATATTGTAATATTAATATTATTGTTAAATTAAGTTGATTCTATAATATTAGAGAAAATAAATATTAGGCTGGAATCTTATTACTTAAGCTTATAAGTACTGAATTGAAAATTTTTGTAGAGGATATTTGAATACTATTGTATAGAAAGTCAATGTTGTTAAAGTGCTTTTGAAAATAGATTCACAATTTTCTTTTATAGGATAAGGCATTTTAATAATTTTTGTGTATTGTACCTATTTTTTGCATTAAAAGTAAAAGTAGAGTATGAACTTTATTTGGATATGTAAAAGCATTCTCTTTTAATTAAGAATATAGAAAATAATATTTAATGCCTATCTACTTTATAGTGTTATTTTTATGAAGCTAACTAAATGTTGTTTGACCAATTAAATTATAGTACTTTGTTTTAACTAGCCTATTATTAACTTTATAAACTGACTTTTGGAAAAATCAGGAATACATGATTTAAAATTTTTCAATAGTGACTAGACTACATTAATAGTAATTGTAACTGAATTAATTTTAAATGTACAGCAATTAAATTGATTTTATATTTTTTCTGCCTCTTTGTTTCTTCTTCAATAAGAGAGTAAAATCTGCAGTTGAGTTGAGGGAGGAGACCATAGTTCCATTAGAGATTAAAGATAACATGCAAAACAATATAAAAGAGGTGATGTTTCAAAAAGCAAAAGAATTGGAGCGTCGTCAGATGGTTGAGCTAAATGAAACTGAAGAACCCATCGTAAAAGAAAATATAGATACCATCTTAGATACCATTCAGGACAATTACAGTGTGACAGATCTGCCTGTCTCTCTCGTTGAAGCGTCTAAAAAAGCTGGCATTAGTTACATTGTGTATCCCAAGAAAAAGAGAATAAAATGGAAGAAAGGATGGAAACTCCGTAGAGTTACAATGGTGTTGGAAGAGTTATCCAAATCTCCAAAAATTCTTAAAAGGTCCTGTTTAATCAATAATTGTTATAGTTTAAGAAATGCATTGTGGTTTTGGCCTTAATTTTATAATTTCACCCATTGAAGTTGTTATTATTTTACTCAACACTGAAGATATGCTGAACTCTTAGCTAAAAATAATCCCTTATTTTTTAATATACAGCTGTTTAATAGCATAAATATGTGAATAGTTCAAACTATAAGTTAAAGGTGGGGCTGCTTTAAGAACATGAAGTAAGCCTAAGTCAATTTAATGGCTAAATGAAATCTCTTAGTAGAAAGAAATGAAATCTATTAAGTTATTTTTCTAAAGTAATTTAGGACGGAAACCCTACTCCAGCTCCAGATACTACCAATTTGAAAGGAAATAGATCGCTGAAATTTAATCATTTTTAAATTTTAAAGTATCGAATTGAGTAATAAATTAGATAGACAAACTGGTTTTTGTATGTTATGAGACCTAACTGGTTTTTGTATGTTATGAGAGATTAACACAAAGAAATAATTTTTCTCCTTACTTGGAGGTAATAATATCTAGCATGTTTAAAAATATGGAGGGACCTAAAATAACAACAGCTTAAAGTTCAGGTATGGTCATGTTTAAGTATTCAAGACATTCTTATAATCCAGTGCTGTACAAAATAGTTTCCAAAAAGCTCTGAGCTTTGTTTCTCTTTAGATATCTCCAGATGACAAAAAATTCATTAAACTTATGCCCTTTTGAAAAGTAAAGACTTTCCTGGTGATAAAAGTCATGTGCTTTGTTCACTTTATTGTTATAAAGACTCGCTGGTTCTGAAAAGAGTTAATTATATTTTGATGTGGTGACTTATTGTCATCTCTTAGAAGACCAGGGAGTAACCTTACAAGAGTTAATTATATTTTGATGTGGTGACTTATTGTCGTCATCTCTTAGAAGACCAGGGAGTAACCTTATGTAAGTGTGAGTGACAGAGTGGAACAGAGATCAACCCTGGTGGAGACTGCCATTCAAGTCAAGTCCTGAGTTCTCCGCACACTACTTTTGCTTAAGCTTCCCCTGCAACAAATTTAATAACTGGAAGCTTTTTTGTTAGCTCATCTTTAGAATACTTTAGGTAGGTTTTTCTAAGTCGACAAATGTTTTAGATAGAACCAGAAGATTGCTTATACATTTTTGATGCATTTTCTCTTTTCAAAGTGTTATGAATCTTCACCATCCTAGAAAAGATAATATACAGCACCATTTTGGCCATAACCAAAGTGACTTCTATCTATACAAAGGATATAAGTGATGTAACACTGCTTCACTGTGATGTTTTACTGCTTACTGACTATATCATTCTGATTATAAAGTTTAACCATTTGAAGAGACTTATTTACTTTTTAATAACTGTATAGACTGCTAATAGTTGTAACAGGAGCCATAGGATGAGCCTTTTGGTGAAGGCAGTCCTGGTTTACTTGGCCCATCTTGCTCTGTTACACCCCCAAGAGAGGCAGAATTTATTATCTACAAGCAGGAGGTGACATATTTTCCTTAGTGCCACTTAGTCCCCCTTGGTCGGGTATTACATTTAGTATACTGTCTTGGTAGATGGCGGTATGGGATAGAATGGAGACAATCCAGAAATTTCCACTCGACCTTTACTGCTATTATCTCCCTCAGGTTATAGCTTATGCAGTTATTAAGTTGATTCATTCCCACTATGCATTCTGGGAGTAGGGAAATTATCACAGTATGGGTCCATGTCTCACAAGATCTGCTGTTAGGTGGTTTCAGGCCAAGATTCTTTCTACTACTCAACCTTCATAATTCCCTAATTAGGTTGATGGATTTCAGTGGCATCCACAGTGGGTATCTATCTGTGGATCAACATAAGTTTAGAGCCAGTATCTAATAAACTGCAGAAGGTTTGCGTTTTTAATCTTTCTCAGATATTTGGAAGCTTTTGGGGAAAATTCAATAAATATACCTAGGCCACATAATAAGATCCTTCCTCAGTGGGACATGCTTGGCCTTCTTGTCAAGTGGGAGGTTTTGGATTGTGAGCTGGCTTATGTCTGAGAGCTGGGTAACCACTATAACTAGTTAGGCATATACCCAGAAGACCTAGAAGTTTTTCGCCTATGTAAGTGAAAGAACACCTTAGAAGCCTGCCCATATACCTCATTTCTAAGGACCTATAGTCTTTTAGTTATTGCCACAGATCCTTGTGTGTTAAAATTCTGTGATTACCATTCTGTCCCTGTGGTTTATTTTGGTAATTGTGTCCACAAAATCCAGAAATTTGTGTTTAACAAATCTCTGGCAACTCTGATGCACAATAGAGAAATAGTTTTGTTTGTGGCTGAGTTGATTTATTGATTATAAAAATAATTATGTTTCTCTAATTTAAAAATCACTCTTTTAAAAACTAGATCAATGTCTCACGGAATTCTTCCTGGACAGAAGAAATATTTTCTGAAAATTCCATTATATGAACGTCCATTTCAGAGTCCCAGCTTACCATCGTGTTTAAATTTTGACAAATTTGCCCAAAGTCGTGGAGGAATTCCAGAAAATACTGACCCTCAAACATGGGTTGTTGATCTATTCTCTAAGCATAAACCTCAGAAGACAACTGCAAGAGAGAAAGTTGTTAAAATATTTGTTCCGAAAGACTTGTCTGAAGAAGTGAAGGAACCACCAAAACTAGAACTGAGTGATTCTTTGACGTCTAGTCTTCCTCCAGACGTCATTAAACATTATGAATCCGAAGTGAAGATCTTGACTGAAGAAATAAATCATAAAAAAATATATCCTGCATTTTTATACTGTAGACGTGGAGCTATTTATAGGAAACTGGGAAAGTTACAGAGTGCCATGAATGATCTACAGGAAGTAAGTTTTATTTAATCAGAATAACTATTTACAATTTATACTTGCATATAATTATATAATAGTTTTTACTAAAATTTTGAACAATGAATTTGTATTGGATATTTGTGATTATAAAAATTATATTTATTGACATTTTCAAATAATAAATATTAAAAGCACTAGATTTTGTTTGTCAGATTGAGAGGTACTATTTTATACCATACACTTAATAAAACAATTGGGATCCCTAATGCTTGAAACTTGATAGGCTATCTTTTAATAAATCAACTTTAATTGAATTTATACATATATTTTCTAGGCTATACTTTTGGAACCATTGTTTCTCAATGCCTATTGGCACCGACATCTCATTTATCTTTTCCAAGACAAAATTAGTGAAGCTTTGGATGACTTGAATTATATAAATAAATATAATAAAAATAATGCAGGTGGGTTATCTGTGCAGACAATTATATTGATTATATCTTTACCTAAGCTTTGGTGATTTAGTGGTATTATAAATATACATAAACCAGTAGACATAGGTCTTCAAACAGATTGTGACTTTCATAAGTTAAATTTATTGTAATATTGTAAATTTAAGACTTGTATGATCTTGTATTATTTTCAAAATACTCATCATGTTTTAAAATCTTAATGTCCTTGGTATATATTACAATAAATTGGTTGCTTACTGTTCATACCACAAAAAGAATATGAACTTAAAAATTTTAGTTTTAGAGTGATTCACAAATCTTTTCTTGACCACAAATCTCTGAATTAAGAGTTTTAGTGTTCCTAAGACTTCTTGGTTGGATGAAATCTATATGTTTGCCCTTATGGAACATAATTTAATCAACTCGAACTTTTGCAGAATGAGAAAATGTCATTTTCATCTTTGTATCCCCAGCATCCATAACATACCCCTAAAATGTAGCACGAGCTTTATAAACGTTTTCTGATCTATGCTGATCTCTGCTAAAAGTCCATATGATTTTGTGCTATTAAAATCTAACTTTTCACTATAAACATTAAAAGATTATGAAACATTTCAGATATACAAATAAGTAATAGTTAATTTTGTTACTTCAAATTGAAGTTAAAAATGCTTTTAAGCATAAATGAGTATTATCCAGACTTGGAGAACAAATTTTGCACTGTTGAAATTAAAACAACAACAACAATAACAAACCCTTACTTTAAATGGTTAAGAAAGTATGGTAGAGAAACATTATTCTAAGACTACTGTTTTGGAGAGAGAGGGAGTAATCTTTAAAAGTTTTTATAGTTCATAAAAGGACCATAACACTAAATTTTACCTTTTTAATTAATTTTAGAGGCATATTTGTCAAAGGCAGAAATTTTCCGGAGAAAAAACGACATTACTTTGGCTATTCTAAACTATACACAGGCAATTAAATGCAAGCCCATGGATGCTGATATGTATTTCAGGAGGGGTGAGATGTATGAAATAACTAACAAAGTACTGGCCATTGATGACTTTTCCAAAGTAAGCTGTATCACATATAATGCTCCCATTTATATGTTTTAGATTATGGTCTCAATCTAATACTATAGCAGTTGTTGAAATGCTTTCACATATGTTGTATAATCAAAAATAATTTATTATAGGTTAAGACCTATAGCATTCATTACTAGAATTGACATTACCACTATGTCAATTTTTAAAAAATAATTTATTTCTCAATTACATTTGACATACAATATTATATTAGTCTCAGGTGTACAACATGGTGATTAGATATTTGTATAACTTATGAAGTGACCACCCCGCTAAGTTTACTATCCATGCGATACTACACATGGTTATTTCAAATACTATATTCCCTATGCTGCACTTACACTCCCATGACTATTTTTATAACTGGCAATTTGTGTATCTTAACTCTTTCTTCTTTTTTACCAATTCCCCCCAAGCCATCTGACAACCATCAGTTTGTTTTCTGTATCTATGAGTTTGTTTCTGTTTTGTTTTTTTATTTATTTTTATTTTATTTTATTTTCTTTAGTGTGTGTGTGTGTGTGTGTGTGTGTGTGTGTTTAGATTCTACATAAGTGAAATCATATGGTATTTGTCTTTGTCTGACTTATTTTACTTAGCATAATACTCTCTAGGTCCATCCATGTTGTCACAAATGAAAGATTTCACTCTTTTTTTTATGGCTGAGTCAAAAATTTTAAAATTAGAATTAGTGAATAGATTTACATCACGGAGTTGGCTGTGGGAGCATTTGAGACAGCTCTGAGGAGGGCTTGACTTTTCCAACTTTCTCCTCTTGAACCATAAAATAGTAGTTTTATGCTTTGAAAATTGTTTCTTCCCTTCAAATGAGAGAGAAAATCAAATCATTCTCCACTTAACTCTTGAGATATAGCAAATCCATCTTATCTCAAAGAAGCTGTGCTCATGGATTTGTTCATTCATTCATTCACTCAGAAATATTTATTGACTAAGGTACTCTATAATGTAGTAAATAAATCTTAATGAATAAAATGAACATATTTCCTGCTTATGTGGAGCCTATTGTCTAAAGGACAGATATTAAAGAAAGAAATACATAAATATATAATTATAAATTATGATGACTTCTATGAAGAAAATAAAAATGATAAGGATGGGTAATTAATATTTGGTTGGGGGATATCAAGGAATTCCCTTGAGGAACTTTTAGCTGAATTATACTTTGAGGCTAGAGTCAGGCAAAATATTCCCCTGATTCTAGCAGAATTCTAACCTTGATCTAACTCTAAATTCTTAGTTCATAGTACAATTGAGAATTTAGAAATTATTTAAATAAGTTATCTTTCCACTTTCCCAGCTGCTCTATTTCTTAATCCATGATGTTAGCCACATACTTGACATTATTTTACTTCAAGAGAATATTGTCTTGTAATTTCTGGTGTAGAAAAAAATCATTTCAATATTTTCTTTTGAAGATATTGAAATTAATAGACTATCTATTCTGTTTGTTTCCTCCATCTGGCATCAATAGTTTAAAAACTGACTAATTTAATTGACTGATTATTTAAATTGACTAATTTTAAATTGACTAATAGTTTAAAAATTGACCAATCGACTAAAGCAATTTGAGGTCAAACAAACTTCAAAATTTTTAGGTTTTTTTTCCCTATTTTAAAAATACTTGGAAATCTTTGTGTTTCAGTTCTCCTCACCTCCCACTATCAGTAGATGAGGAGCTTTACAACTGAGTAGACAATGATTTAATCTGTTCACTCTATTGCCTTTTATGTCAATGTGAAATGAATGAACCATGCCAATGTCAATTCATTTGTCTCCACAGTTTTAGAGAGTAGATTAATCCACATCTGATTTGATTGAATCAGCCTTAATGTGGTCAATATGTGCTATCTTTAGGGATATAATTGGGATAAAATTGATAGATCAAATATAACTCTACTCTAGTTGAACAAGTCACTTATGAAATTTGACCAGTGAAAATTTCAGTGGGTAAAAGCCTTGGCTGCTTGTCTATGCTGTTTTTTTTTTTTCTCTCTCTGTTATAAAACCTCCCTTTTCTAGAATTTGATGATGAATGGATTTCCTAAAGACATGGTCTTTAAATGCAAATTTCAGTTTTGCATCTTAAATTAATTTGCTTAAAAAAGTCTGAAGTTAAAAACAGACTTGTAATCCATTTAATTTGTTATGGGTTTATATACCTTTTTAAAAAATGATGTGATATGTTTTTGTGTCTCCTCTCCACCCTTACCCCCATGCAGTGTATTTTTTATGATCCCCAAAGAATAGATGCATTATTGAAACGTGGACTGTTTTTCTATGAAAATGAAAACTGGAATGCAGCCATACAGGATTTTACAGCCTTGCTAAATGTAGATCCCCAAAATTCTCAAGCAAGGTGAGAATTATTTTATATGCGATGTTTGAAATTATACTATTTTTTACAAGTACTTTCTCAGGAAAGAAAATTGCTTAAAATACCAGACAGCTCTTTAAAAACAGTGAATCAATTCTCCATGCTACCAATGAATGGAAATCTTTATCTATAACATAACAATGGTGGTTAATTTAATAGGCATAAAATGACAATTTAGACAATTTAGAGTTTCATTAGTATTTTCTTTTTTTTTTGGTCTTTTAAAAAATTTGTTAGCATTCTCTAAATACTACTTACATTATCAGCTTTTAAAGTTTGGCCTACATTTTTGTTCCTTGAATTATTTTTTTCCCTTTTTTATGTCCTTTGTATTTACTGAGTACTGAGTATAGAGAACCGTTTCTATAGATTTCTATAACATTGTAACTTTGACATTAACCTTTGTTTTTCCAACTTTATTGTGCATGAAGCAGTTCTCATTTTGTTGCTTTTCTTTTAATCTAAGTTTTGTTTTGAAGAGTTTTAAAAAATGTGTATAGTCATATTTGCTCATCTTTTCACTCATGATTTTTAAAAAATTTAATTAATTAACTAATTAATTAACTTATTTTTTATAGTGAAATTGATTAACAAAATCCAAAGTTTCAGCTGTACACTTTAACAGTAAGGCATATATATATTTACACTGTGTGTTCACCTCCCATAGTTAGATTTCTTTCTGTCACCACATATTTGACCCCCTTTATCTCATCTACCTCCTCCTTCCCCTCTTCTCTCTCCCTGCTACCGTCTGGTACCACTAGTCTATTGTACATGTCTATGAGTCTCTGTTTGTTTGTCCTGTTCATTTGTTGCTTTTAGGTTTGTATTCCACATAAAAGTGATATGTGATTTTCAACATTTTCTGTCTGGGTTATTTTGCTTAGCATGCTTATCTCAAGGTCCATTCACGTTGTCGCAAATGGCAGTATTTCATCTCTTCGTATAGCTGAGTAATAATCCATTGTATATATGAACCACAGTTTCTTTAGCCAATCATTGATCATAGGACACTCTGGTTGCTTCCATGTCCTGGCCACTGTGAATAATGCTGCTAAGAACATTGGCATGCAAATATCTTTTTAAATATGGGTTTTCAAGTCTTTGGGGTAAATACCCAGTAGAGAGATTGCTGGATCATATGGTAGATCAATTCTTAGTTTTTTGAGAAAACGCCATACTGTTTCCCATAATGGTTGTACCAATTTTCTGTCCCAAAAGCAGTGTATGAGGGTTCCTTTTTCTCTATATCCTCTCCAAAACTTGTTACTACTTGTCCTGTTGGTAATAGCCATTCTAACAGATGTGAAATGTTATCTAATTGTGGTTTGGATTTGCATTTCCCTAATAGCTAGTGAAGTTGAGCATCTTTTCATATGTTTGCTGGCCATTTGTATTTCTTCTTGGGAGAAGTGTCTGTTCAGGTATTCTGCCCATTTTTTAATTGGATTGTTTGGATTTTTGTTGTTATTGTTATTGAGTTGTAAGAGTTCTTTTGATATATTGGATATTAGCCCCTTATCAGAGGCATCGTTTGCAAGTATCTTTTCCCATTCGGATGGTTATCTATTTGCCTTATTGATGGTTTCTTTTGCTGTGCAGAAGCTTTTTAGTTTGACATAATACCATTAATTTATTTTTGCTTTCACTTCCCTTGACTTTGAGTTCAAATTCATAAAATCCTCTTTAAGTACAAGGTCCGTGAGTTTAGTACTTATGTTTTTTTCTATGCAATTTATTGTTTCGGGTCTTATATTTAGGTCTTTAATTCATTTTGAGTTAATTCTGGTATGTAATGTGAGACAAGAGTCTAGTTTCATTTTTTTGCATGCAGCTTTCCAGTTTTTCCAGCACCATTTATTGAAGAGGATTTCCTTTCTTCATTGTAGGTTTTTGGATCCTTTGTCAAAAATTATTTGCTCATATAAACAGGGGTTTACTCTGTACTCTCAATTTTGTTCCACTGGTCTGTGTGTCTGTTTTTCTGCCAATATCATGCTGTTTTGATTACTGTCACTTTGTAGTATAATTTGAAGTAGGGCAGAGTGATACCTCCAGCTTTTCAACAATTCCATTTTTAAGCAGGTAAAATATCAGAAAAGCGTCTTCACTTAAGAAGCTCTACAGATTTAAAATAAATATATTAAAATATTCTCAATATATTACTCATTAAGTAAATGCAAATAAAAACCACAGTGAGATGCCACAGTGAGATACATATCTGTAAAAATGGCTCAAATCAAA